CGCCGGGGTTAGCTGCGTCAAGCCCCCTGCCGTCGAAAATCCACATGTAGTTTTTGACTCCCCCAAAACGTCACTAATAGCCTCTTGCCGTCCAGCAGCCTTCCCAATGACATCAACAGTCAATTAATGCACATTTTGTATATAGGTATTATATACTGTACACTTACAACAAAGTAAGCTAGAGGAAATATTACTAAGAAAACCATAAGCTGGAGAAAATAGATTTACAGTACTGTATCGTAAAAACTCCGCATCTAAGTGACCCCCATGGTTCAGACCCATGTTGTTCGGAGGTCAGCGGTACTATTCCACTTGATAAAAGAGGAGAATTCTGCCATGTGGGACACACGGAGGCACCTGGAAAATATTATGCCAAGTGCAATAAGCCAGTCACAGAAGGACAAATACTGCCTATTTCCACTTACGTGAGGTATTTCAAAGAGTCAAACTTGTAGAAGCAAAGAACAGAGGTGGCTGCCAGAGGCTGGGGGCAGGGGTGGGGGGAATGTCAGTTGCTAAAAACTGGGCATAAAATTTCAGTTATGCCGGGTGAATAAATTCTAGGGATTCACTATAATGACATTGTACCTAGACATAACAATGCTCTACTGTACACTTAAAAAGCTGTTAAGAGGGTAGATCTCATATTACGTGTTCTTATGACAATAAAATTTTATAAACACTAAAAAAATAAAAAAAAACAGGGGTGTCTGCTTGGCTCAGCGGGTAGAGCGTATGACTGTTGATCTCGGAGCTATATGTTCGAGCCCCATGTTGGGTGTAGCGATTACTTAAAAAAATAAAATCTTAAAAAAAAAATTAAAAAGAGCTCACGAAGCAAATACGAGCAGTAAACAGGAGGGCAAGGAGACTCCTACACCTTGCAGGTGCTGATAATACAGTTCAGTCACTCTGAAAACCCTCTTGGAAGAGCCAGTGGTGCTTAAACAATAAAAAGGCTCACCGGAAATTCTTCTCCATCCCTCAAAGAAAGGTCTGATTGGCACATGTTATTTATGGCAAAAGTGGAATCAATTCTCTGATGACCTATTTGGCTTTGGCTGCACAGCACGGACTGAAGAAATAGAAAGGTGCTCCGCGAGGCGTGAGCAGAGCGGCCAGGAGCAAGGGACTCCAGCAGTCAGATCTGGATTCCGATATGCACTCTGCTGTGTGGCCCTGAGCAAACTGCCCGACCTCTCTGTTCTCTGGCAGCCAGGGATGATCACCTTCAGAGTGTTGTCCGAGTTAAAAGAGAAAAGAATGCATGATGTGCTTTGGGCAATGCCTTCCAGTGTGCCGTTATCATTATAAAATACTAAATTACTAAATAGAGGCTAAGTTACCAAATGCTCCAATACTAAGACTCTGTGAAAAGGCGGAGTTGTCAGGGTGGAGTGCCATGTCTCACTCTTGGGAGCTGTCCATGTGGTCCGCTGGGGGTGGGGGCGGGGAGCTTCCCAGAAGTGGCTTGGGCTGGGCCTGGGAAGAGGTGTTACGGCCAGGAAGAGAGAGACTCCAAGGATGGAGTCCAAGGTCTGAAGCTTGAGTAACCAAGAGAACCAGAGAGAACGGTTAATTCAACTGGGTCAGAGTGTGCAAGGAAATGCCCAGGGGACTCCTCCTGGGGCAGGCGGGCTCTCAGAGCCCCAGGTGGCCTCCAGTCTGAAGGGGCTTTGGGGCCAAGCATGTGCTCAATCTTAAAGGGGAGTGGAGGCCAGTGAGCCCCAGGTCCAGTGAAGGTGGCCTCTGTGAGCTGAGAACCCCGAGATTGCAATGGGGCTGTGAGGATTTTGTATCTTCCTCTTAGGTTTGTTCTAAATGAGATTTTCACACCAAGATGGCCCACGGGTCTGTGTCTGATTCAGGGCCTAGAGGAAAGGGGAGCAGGGGAAGCCAGGGAGGGCGTGCAGAAGCAGAGGATAGAGTGAGTGACGCACAGTTGTAAGAAAAGGCAATCAGGTGGGTTCTGGGGCTGCTTCCTGGCTGTGGGGGCGCCGGAAGGGTGGGTCTGGGCCCACACTAGGATCTGGACTGAGCAGGAAGGCCTTGGGGTGTAGCTCTGGCCACATGACACTGGAGAGGCTTGAGGCATGACCTGGACGTATCTAGTGGGCAGCTGAAAATGCAGGCCCGGGACTGTTCTAGGAGTTGGGAGGGCCCGGGGTAGGGTGGTAGGGTGGGCATCTGGGTCAGCCATCTGCATGGCCCCAGGGGAAAAGTCTAAACCTTTCCAGCATGGAAAGAGGCAGCAGCAGTGGCTTTGGCTTCTGGAAACTTCTTGGAGCTGGCCCAGCCTGCTTTGGGAATGTTGGTCAGACCTGGGTACAAGTGTGTGGGTGTGTGACAGATAAGGCAGGGGAGGCAGCAACAGGCTCTGAGAATTCAGGTGTCTGTCTCCAGAGAGCTGGGAAAGGCAAAGGCTCTCCGCAGGGACTGATACAATCCGTAGGACACACGTTTATGTCCCCACCTCTTCTTAAGGCCCTGTTTTAGGGAAGCTAAGTTCTCTTTGGAAAGAGCTCTAGATGGGTAGTGGAGAAGCTCCAGGCCGGCAGTGAGGGGCTATGTGTCCCCGGGCAGGGCACTCAGCCTCTGTGCCCCTTTAAGATTGGGCATGTGCCGGGCCCTAAGTCAGACTGGAGGAAACCCAGCTCTCTGAGAGCCACCGTGCCCTAGAACCAGTCCCCGGGGCATTTCCTTCTACATTCTGACCTAGTTGTCCTCGTGCGCTTAGCACCCTCTCCACACCGTGTCTTTCTCCCTGAACCCCTTCAGAGCAAGCAGCATGGTCTCCCTCTACAGAGGAGGAACCAAGGCTCAGGGCAGGTGAACTCTCCCCTGGATGGCACAGCTCGAACCTGGCAGAGGCAGAACTGGAGCCCAGGGCTGGTGCTCTGGAACCAGCTCACTGCGGGCCTCCGGCAGAGCGCTCGCAATGTGGGGCTCTGATTTGCCCTTTTATGGTGAAAGCTGTAGATGAACTGTTTGTTCTTCAAGTTTGCCGTGAGCATGGCAGCCACTTGTGTTCGTGACATCGTCCTGAAAAGTTGAACGCATCAAGCAAGTGTGCATTAGGGGACGCTCCTTGTTTTTTTTTTTTTTTAAGATTTTATTTATTTATTCATGAGAGACAGAGAGAGAGAGAGAGAGGCAGAGGGAGAAGCAGGCTCCCAAGGAGCAGGGAGCCCGATGCGGGACTCGATCCCAGGACCCTGGGATCATGACCTGAGCCGAAGGCAGACGTTTAACCATCTGGACGCTCCTTGTTTTTTGTGCAGACCTCCTGGCACCTTCCGGATCTCACACCCGAAAGTTCGCGCTACCTCAGGCGGTGTTAGAAGGTCCTGGCAGCCAGGGCCGGCGCTCAGCTGCAGCCTCGCCCCCTGCTCGGGGAAGCAGGGGTGACGGCAACACCAGGAGGTGCCCAGATCACGCAGAGGGAACGTGTTGGGGCAATCCAGGTCACTGCCCTCGAACGGTGCTGCTCCCTGCCTTGAGCTGGGTTGTCAGGGGCACAGGGCAACTCAGGCAGGGATGGGAGGACCCCAAGAGGCCACTGTCCCAGAGGGCTGCCTTCACATCACCCCCGAGGGATGCAAAAAGCAAAGCTATGGCCCCTTGTGGTGCTGCGTTCGGAGCTTATGACCCTTTGAGAGCGACATACCGTGGGAGGAGGCCATTTGCCGATTCTGAGAAACAATTCTGAATTCAAGTGCATTTGTTAGGAAGGACGTTGGGCTCTGTGGAGTGGCAGAGGCTGACGGGTTTGCAAGGTGTCTGAGAGAGGTCTGCATGCTCTGCTTTAGTGAGCATCCACACAGTCGGGAATGAGCACCTTGTTTCCCATAAACAGATGTTTCAAAACCATCTACAAATACCCTCTCCTTTCTCTTAGGTTGCTCTCTTATCTTCTTCCTTTGCAAAACACAAAAATGTCCCCTGACTGCACACCCCCCTGTAGCTGGCAAGTTCCTTTCCTGTTGCCTTTCACAGAAACACTTCTCCAAAGACTTGTCCACACTCATGTCCTCACCTCCACCGCCTCCCCGCCTCCTGGCCATTCCTCCATCTACACCCTCTCTCTGGGAGATCCCATGTGGTCCCCAGCCTTGGGCACCAAGTATACACGGACACTTCACAAAATGCTCAATTCCGAGTCTCCAGGGCTGACGCTTCTTCCCAGTTTTCAGACGCTTCTACCTGAGCAACAGTGGGACAGCTCTCTGGGGATGACCACCGGGTCACCCATACAGAAAAAAACCACCTCCTAGTTTTCATCCCCTTCTGTTTCTCTTCAAGCTCTCCCTATCCCAGAAAATGGTGTCACCAGGCTTGTGAACCAGGAGCCCACATCACTTCCTCCATTCTCCGATATCTCATGTCAGCAGGTCCTGTTGGTTCCATCTCAAAAATATAACTGGAATGCAAACCTCCTCTGCGCCGTCATGGCTGGGTTCTGAGCCACCAACCTCTCCCTCACCCCATAATGAATTCCCAGCTTCTGGCCCCCAAGAGTAGCCAGGATGACCCTCTAAAGTGGGCTGTATATACCTGGTAGGGCAAGTACGTCACTGACCTCTTGCTTCTCAAAAGTTCTCAGTTATTCTCATTTATTTCTTCTTCAGATGAAATTTAGAAGCAAGTATTTTTTTTTAAATACATAATTCAATGGTAAACCAATCGAGACCAAAGATCCATTCATTCAATTAATATTTACTGGAGGCCTCCTCTCTGCAGGCAGTGTTCTAGATTATGAATGACTGAAGTCTGAGTTAATAATAATTTCCTTTGGAGGGCTTTTTCCCTCTATATAAACCCAATGAATTAAAACCCTGCTTTGGTAAACAGAAGCACGGAGAGTGATGTTTCTGTTTACCAAAGGATCGATCATTCCAGGTGGTACAAGCCCTTTCCTGGCGTGTTTGAGTTTTGCTCACAGACATTCCAGGGTGGCCTTCCCCACCAGGGCAGCGGGCCCGGCCACGCGGGTCTCTTACCTCCCTGAGGCAGGTGTAGATGGGGCAGACGAGCACACGGAAGGGCTCGCCGGTGCTGCTACGCATGGTCCCGAACACCTCACACAGGAAGGTGATGAAGCCAAGCCAGCGTTCCACATCCTGCTGCTGAAGCTCTTCCCGCACGGTGAAGTCCTTCTGTGGAGGCACGAGAGACCGAGTCAGCCTCACCAGGGTCAGTCTGCCTGGCTGTGGTGCCTGCTGTCTAAGGGCCGGCTCTAGACAACTGGTAAACCCCATGCTTTCACTAAGGAGGGATGGGTGACCCTTGGCTGGAGTGTGAATGCGGGCGACTCACGTGTGGGTAGCAGGGCCACCTTGACTTTTGGCCACAGCACCTCTTCTTCAGTTCCCAGATTGGGGGCCCCTCAGCCTTGCCTCACTGACCCCAATGCTGAGGTGGGGGAGTGAGATGAAGGGCAGATGACACCTTTCCCAGAGTTATCACCTCCCCCGTTCAACTCCGTGTGCCTAAACCACCTCCCTTTGCTAATCCCCAAAGCATGCCCTCCACATGAGGGAGGGTAACCAGAGAATTGTCCTGCACGTCAGCAATTAGTGACTGAGGCCCACTGTGGCTCGAGCACTGGGCTGGAGACAGCTACGGCCCCTGCCTGCAAGGGGTTTAGACACATTCATTCATCCTCCCTAAAAACAGTATTGCCCCATTGTGTGCCAGGTGCTGTATTAAGGACTAGGAAATGACATGTTCACTTGTAACCGTGATACAAGAGAGAAGGTATCAAAGCCACTGTGGGGTTCCAGGTGAAAGGATTTGGGGAGCTCAGAGGCAGAAGTTGTCACTTTGAATGGGAAATCAAGGCCACGAAAGAGCTAGGATTCTGACTCAGGAATGTGGGGCATTTCAGGCGGAGAGAACAATGATGTGGGGAGGGTAACATGGATGTTTGGGAAATAGGGAGGTAGAACGCAGTCCGGGTCCTGCACGGGTGGCATAGAGAAGAAAAAAACAGGAGGCAGGGCGGAGAAAGAGGGTGGGGCTAGAGTATGGATAATTGCACCCAGCCAAGGAGCTTCATTCTGTGTGATGGCTGGCAGAGAAGGTTTTGGGTGGGTCATGAAAGGCCATGGTCATATCTCTGCTCCTGACAAGGGTACTATGGCATGGATGCGGAGACCAAGCAGGAGGCTGCCGCCAAAGTGCAGGCTGAATGAAACTACACTCTCTGGCATTCGAGAGATAAGAATCTGTGGTAGGTTAGATTATATTCAGAAATATATTTCCCCTACCTCTTGTCTTCAGGTTTGGCCATATGACTTGCTTTGGCCAACAGAATGAGGCAGAAGTGACAGGGTGCCAATTCTCATCCGAGGCCTTAAGAGGCCTTGCATAGTTATGCTTACTCTCCCATGCTTCTCCCATTGTCATTGTGGTCTGATGGTCCCAAAGGGAAGACGAGAGAATGTGGAGCAGGGCTCCACCCAAGTCTAGACTAGATCAGGTGGCCCCCAGCCAACCTGCACACATATAATCTAACTACAACACAACACTGTGTGCCATGAGGATTTCTGTGGTCGTCTGCTGAGCAGTACTAGCTGCCCGATACGGGATTGGTATAAAAGACACTGTCAAGATAAAGAGTTGCCAAGTGATGGATTTCAGGGTTGATGGAAAAGGAAGACTCAAATATGATACCAAGATTCTGGATGTGGGGGACTGTGCCACCAAAAGGAATAGGACACGGGAGGGAAGAGGCTGTGGCACGTGCCGCATGCCGTCCCCACCATCCAGTACCCCTCCCCATCGCGGGTTTTTGGCTGCGCATTCTCCTGGATGCCCAAATCTCAGAATCTCCAGAGAAGGAAGGTCCCCACGGAAGACTTGGCTAATGTCTGTCCCTTGTGTATGATGGAAGTGCTATCTAGGAACCTAAAAGGGCAGATGGGACCTCAGCCTCCTCGGCTGGCCAATTTGCCAATCTTGAGAAGATCTCCAAGAGATGTCCCTCCAGATCCTGCTTCTGATGAGCCTGGGTCATGGCTTATATGTTTCAGAATTTCTCCAGCTTGAATTGTGTGTGCGTGTAGCAGTCCACTACCTGTGCACCAGATGCCGAGCCAAGGACCTGAATGTAATGTCTCCGGTAATCCTCACAATGATCCCACTAGGCCGGTCCTATTATTGCCCCATTTTAGAGATGATGAATCTGAGGTTAGGAAGTTACCCAACTTGGCCATGGCTACGTGGAAATGGCAGAGCTGGGATTTGAACCTGGATCTGCCTACTCTGGACACCAAGCTTTTTCCCCACTTCTTTTCTCATGGTGTTTTGAAACTGGAAAGGTAGTACGTCAGAGCCCAAGCTCTTACTCACTTTGTGTCTGAATTTTCCACTAAGCCATTTGTTCATACTGCCCCCAGAAGTCCATTCAAGCTCATAGATCTCATGGGCCCCATGCCGACCCTTGGGTCTCCTGCCTCCCCACTCACTTCCCACTGAAATGTCTACCTGTGTACAGCTGTGGTTTGCCAGTTCATGGAGCTCTCCCGCCCTGGAGTCTGAGACAGGGCAGTGTCCCTGGAAGAGTCCCCTGGGCTTAGCCAGGGACCCCAAAAGGAGCGGGGTCTCCTTCCTAGTATAGAACCTGGAGCAGGGAGCCCATAGGGGCTGCCCTGTGTTGTTCTAGGTACCTGTGAATGAATGAATGACTTTGCCCCCCACCCTAAGGCCTAGAAAGGGCCCTGGACTGCTGGCCTTGAAGTCATAAATCTTTAGGTAGTTCCACCCTCATTAGCCTGTGTTTACCCCACTGTATCCTTATGTGGTCAGAACAGAGGCAGGCATTAGCATTCTCATTTTAGAATGGGAGAAACTGAGGCACAAAGCAGTTAAAAGACTTGACCAAGGTCACGTAGGACTAGAATCTGAATGAGAACCCAAGCCCTACCATTGTTCTCAAATCTGGGCTAAATGTTCTTGGTCCTGGTTGCACCCGGAGGAGCTTCGAAGCTACAGGTGCTTGGATTCTGCCACACAGAGGCTTGTGTAGCTGGCCACAGTGGGGCCTGGACACTGGTCATCTGTGAAAGCCCTCGGGTGATTCCAGTGTGTGGCCATGGCCGAGAACCACAGCTCCAGGCTTTTATAAGGTGCCGACTTGGGAGTTAAAATGGGGCCCGTCCATCAGGGCCCAATTTGTCCTTTTCCCATCTCACAGAGAAATACCCGAGCAGGCAGACAAAGAAGAAGAAAGCCCCACAACAACACCGAGAAGGGAGATAACAGTTCACCAACAGCCTCCTCACCAGACTCGGGAGGTAACACCACTAACTCAAGTGCTGTCACCAAGAAGCTCTAGTTGCCCAGAGCAGCTTGGCCTCCTACCCGGAAGATCAAAGGTTAGGGGTAGATGGGTAGGTAGCCTGACCTTCAGCCTCTCCCTGTCTGCCCCTGGCTGGTAGGCAGTCTGGGATTACTTATAAACCCTGTCCTGTGCACCCAGGCAGATCCTAGCAGCACTGCTCTTGTCCTGGTCCCTGCAGATTCAGGGGCCAAAGGTACCCTGTGTCCTCAGAGGCGTGGTGCTCTCAGGCAAAGCCCTCTCGGGCAGGGAAAGTCTTGGGGCAGTGCACACCAGAAACTGGAGTTTTAAAAAAAAGATCAAATCTGATCAAAGAACTACGGCTTGACTCCATTTCCTCCTGATAATCAGTGGCATTGAGAGAGGATTCTGTTTGGGGCTGGCAACATGCACTAGAAAACCGAACACCTGCTAAATGTTGGAAATCAAACTTGGGATGTGCACGCGAAGCCACCCACGGAGAGGGGGACTCTACTGTTGCCGCGGCAGACATTGAGAATTCCAAGGACGATCCATATAGCTAACCCCCAAACCAAACTGAGCCTTCGTCGTTCAAGGGTAAGGGAAGAGAAAAGCAGTATGCCGTCTACGGGAAAATCCTGCACAGCAGAGTAGGGGGCTGCTACCCCGAAGACCTAATGGAAATGCATAGCTTTGAAAATGGTAACAATATACCAAGAATAAATAAAATTCAAGATTCCAGTGTAAAACGTGTGGGCTTTTAGTTCCATAAGAATAACACTGAGATGAAGTGTAAGATGGGAGCTGGCCTTCGGGAAGAACGGATGGGAACGAGAGGTACCACAGCAACATGAGAGCGTGAGCTGAAGGCAGTGAAGGACAGAATGTGCGCTGCAGAAAAAGTCGCACATAAGACAGCTAGGAAGTTGAAGACAAGGATAAATAGATGAAAAAGAAAAGAAAGCGGTGAAGACTGAGTGGACGGGCGTCTGACCTGTGAATTATAGAGGCTTTCAAAAAGGATCCCAGAATACATGGAATAAAGACACCAGAGGGAAACACTTTGAGTTGAAAACCAAAAGCCAAAGAAGAATGGACTCTTCAGGCAGAAAGGGCTCCCAGCGTCCCAGAGCCCCACCATGGATACTTAGCAGGAGAACACTCTTTTTTAATTTCAAGAAAAAGAAAAATTCTAAAAACAGCTTTGAAGGTGGGGGGGAGGGGAACCCCTAGGTTTCTTACAAAGGAACAAAAATATGGTTGGCCTTATATTTCTGTATTTGATGTTAAAATTCAGACATTGAGACAACATCTTCCCTTGCTTGAGGGGGAAAGAACACACACAGCTGTGAGTGAAAGCAGGAGAAACGCATCTTACATAATAAGCAAAGGTTTTTGAAAGTCCTATCTACGTGCTTATCTTAAAAAAAAGTCAAACTGGGGCACCTGGGTGGCTCAGTTGGTTAACCTACTGCCTTCGGCTCAGGTCATGATCCTGGAGTCCCGGGATCGAGTCCTGCATCGGGCTCCCTGCTCTGCTTCTCCCTCTGACCCTCCCCCCTCTCATGCTCTATCTCATTCTCTCTCTCAAATAAATAAATAAAATCTTAAAAAAAAAAAAAGTCAAACTGGTGCAGCCACCATGGAAAACAGTATGGCGATTCTTTAAAAAATTAAAAATGGAAATACCCTATGATCCAACAATTCCACTTCTTTTTTTTTTTTTTTAAAGATTTTATTTATTTATTTGAGAGAGAGAGAATGAGAGACAGAGAGCATGAGAGGGAGGAGGGTCAGAGGGAGAAGCAGACTCCCTGCCGAGCAGGGAGCCCGATGCGGGACTCGATCCAGGGA